TCGTCCAACAGCGAACGAAAAAAGAAAATCGATCGTCAATCGTGTCACCCCCCCCACAGTAGTCGCCAGACTTGTTTACCCCGTCTGAGGACCGTCCCTGACGACGGTCGAGGTCGCCTAATCTCGAGCCAGTTTGATCGAGAAATATCGCGGGTGATCACGAAAGTGACCAGACTAATAGTCGGCTCCATAACTGGCAGAAAGACGACTACTTCCCGATCCGGGAACGGCGGAACTCGACGACGCGTGTCCTCGCGAGAAGACACAAATTGTACACGCGAGGACCGCTCCGAGAACAAGGTTGTGCCACGTCCTCGAGCGGAAAAGGCCAGGACACGATAACGAGTTTCAACTTTCTGTTCCGACTTGGACGGATCTTCACCGTGCCCTTTCGACCTCATGAATTATTTATTCAATCGGTGGGAAGACGTACGGCTACCATGAAATTCGGCCACGATAACGAAGCTAATAAAGCTTCGCGGAACCTTCTGTAACGGCCTCGTAATTTACACCTCGAAGTTACGTGGTGTCTCAACCCCTGGCGCGTGTTTAACACCGGGATGCAAGTGAAATAATTAGACGTTGTTGTGATACGGGCCAGCCAGTTGGCCAGTTCGAGATGTGGTATAATCGTTCGTTGTGGTACGAAGAGGATTGAAGGAAATATTTGTTGGAAAATGAATCTTTATCTTCGTTATGTTCGTTGTGTGTGATGTCTAAAGTTTAAATATGGATCGTTGATAATAGGAGATCAACAGTAGAAATATTCATTGAATTTTTGTTCGTAACGTCGTGGTGTGTTATATCCGTAAGATGTACGGGTGACGTCCGATTTGTCGGAAAAATGAATATTGATAAGGGAAACGAGATTAGAAGAAATATTTGTTGGAAGGTGAATTTTTAATTTTCTAATATCGTTCTGTGCGTGGTAAAAGATATTTTTGTTTTACGCCCGAGTATAATCTCAGTTTGCTATTACTGTTTATTATCATTACGAAATGAACATTTTTATTACTTGAGAATTGCACGTTTATCGAACGTTACATTTATTTCAAAGCGATTTTAGATTAAGAAGCCTTGAAAAAACTGAGTTGAGTCAGTTATGAATCAGTCATGAGCCGGTAATTCCTGTATTATTAATACGACTAATTATTTCGAGGAAATATATATAATTTTTATCGACCGACTAATTTATTTAAATTTATTTAGATTAAAAAATTTCTTATTATATTTCTTTCTTTATGAAACTGGAATCTCGAATGTCTGACCTCTATCAATCACATTCTACTTGCATTCTTACGTATCTTACGTATCTTACGTATCGTCACTCATAATATTCATTTTCCTAAAATTTATATTATGTATTTAACAACAATTATGAAGCGAGAATTTTCGAAATTGAAAGTACGGATTAAACCATAAACCGCAGGAAGTAAATCGTGTCAAGAATACGCGATATAATCAATGATCGACCGACTTCGAAATAGTTGGAAAATTACGTTCGAGCTACTCCCTCTCCCTCTTCCTCTCTCTCTCTCTCTCTCTCTCTCTCTCTCTCTCTCTCTCTCTCGTGACTGATAAATCGAGAATGAAGCTCGACACACGAACTCGTTTCCCTCCGTAATGATCGCTTTTTCGCGATATTTATTATTCACGGAGTCTCGAACCCATTAAATTTCCGCGGCCAGCCTCTGACGTTTCACGCAAGAATTAGGAAATCGATATCGATTCTTCCGATTGCTCGATGTTCCTCGATATATAATACGATTGTATTCGATAAATATACGTCGAAAAATTCTGTAAAAAGAAAAAAGAGCGCACGATCGTTCGAATCGATGGCGCGATTCTCGCAAAGCTTCCATTTAATTTTTTTTTTTTTTTAATATGCGCAAAACGTGATTTTTTTTAATCGCGAAATCGTTGCGCTTGGAAAGGATTGTAACAACTGTTGTTACGTAAGTTGAAAGGAGCGGATCCTCTGTGAAATATATTCTCGTCTGTAATCAAACGATCTTTTGCACGTGCTTCTCGAACGAGATTCCCTCTGAAACGATATTTAATTAATATTCAAGAAAGGAAACTACTACAATCGGATACTTGAGAACAAAGGCTCTGATTTACGATTTTTAGGATAAGCGATTCTGATTTCATCCAACGAAGGAGCTGTGTGATTTTTTTCTTTTCTTTTTTTCGTGTTTCTAATTTTAATTTTCGAATTTTACAATTGATTATATAATGAGTATATAAAATTTTGATATCGGAATATGATCCTTCTGAGAATGTTTAAAACACTCATCAGGATATTTCTATCTTAATGTTCCTCTCGCGTTGCATTCTTTCGATCCCTGATATTCGATCCCTGAATCGATTAACTTAAAATTCTTGCTTAACTATTCTCTCTTAGGCGTAATAAAAATTAAATTTTTCGTTATCCCAAGATCTGAAAATTGATCGATATCGTCGCACCCTTTTATTTCACATTTGTGCATTTCTCGAGGCAAGCATCGCGAATGGTGTGTGATTAGCACGATTCTCGTGACGTGATGAATCGAGGCGTAATTGGACACAGTAATTTATGCGTCCTCATCGGTAAAGTTCCTCGCGTTCCACTACGATCCCCCGTGAGGAAGGAGGCGGAAGAACAGGAGACGCCGGTGCATGCCTCGCATAGATACGACAAAATTGCATCTTCGCGGGGTCAGAAGCGTGGAATCCTAAGGACGTGATTCGGGCTGGGTCAAGGATAGGCAGGATGTGACGTCACACAGACCGCCAACAGATCGATATCCTGGCCACCAAGTGGCGTCACCTCTTTCCGCCTGATCTTTGTGACGACCTTACGTGCATTCATTTTTTTTTATTCAAACTCCTGACAAATCACTTCCTTTCCAATATCCTGCTTCTGGATATTGTAATCAGATCTGTTACACACCGTTTTAATTCGTTTCTCAGAAAAGTTTCTATATGGGATTCTCGTAAACTTAAAATGAAATAATCGATCGATCGAGTGTTGAAAGTTTAAATAATACAGTTCTTCGATTCTCTGGAAGTGATTTTTAGAAAATTTACACTGTGATCGACCCCTGAACACCGTTCAGTCATGTAGAATCGTATATACGATATTGAAATCGTTTGTAATGTAATGACGTGTGAATTTCTTGGAAATATATCGTTTGATATTGAAGTTGAAGGTGTTAGAAATACAGGAAGTATAAATCTTCTTGTACGAGATTTCCGGAGTTTGATATAATAATTCCAAGGTTATGGAGTGCGGCAAATATACCTGAATTTGCTCTAACCCTCTCTCCAACTCTCCTCCACTCGCGTGTTCCTCCTCCACTTCTATCATCCCTTACAAAACTTCCACTTAATGGACCTTCTATTAAATTCTGTTTAAACTTTTCAAATTTTCGTAATTCTCTTAAAGTAGACGCCAGCTACTACTATTTTCATTTCTTATTTTTCCTCTTTTATTCGTCATTGTTGAAAAAAGTTTCTTTCAATTTCTTAGCAAGATTTCTCTTCCAAACACGATTGAAAAGAGTCGAGGCTGTTTGCCATACTCCATCATTATTAAAAAATTTTCGTCATTTCTTACCATAATAATCAAACTGTAAAAAATTTTATTTTCTCGAATCTCTGTTCCCAAATACTGTCAAACAGCATCGAAAACACCGGAAGTGACGCACGTACGCGCAGCTGGCACATCTCTTTTGCAAAAATCCCCGCAAAGGATAGCCGTGGCTTTCATCCTCGCGGGGAACGTTGCACAGAGAAGAGTTTGTCCCTTGTTGACCCGGCACACGGCCGATTGTCCGCCGTTTCGCTTGCCAAGGTTGCCTCGGAAGAAACCCTTCACGGACAATGATTTCTTTCATGATTCTTTCGCCGAGGCACGACACGTATAGGCGATCTATTCTGAGGTCGTCAGCGAGGAATCTTCTCCTCCTGATACGTGTCCGCCGTCTCTTTTGCATAAGAGCCCCGTCACGAGGCTTGAATAATGCTCAAAGAACGGCCTAAAGCCGTTCCACGACGCCTCTATTTATTCGATCACGGGTGCAACAACCTCGTTTCTAATACGTAATACGTACTCCTTGATACTTCATTTCACGAAAGCGTGTACGTGCGCTATAACGTATTTGTAATTACGACGGAATAACGTATTTGTAATTACAACGAATGGAAGGAGGAGGTGGTGGTCTTTGTTGGGATAAAATAAATGCAGGGGAGGGGTTAATAAGATCTCAATAGAGCGTCCAATAATAGAGGATAATTACAGTTGATGGCATTACATCAGACGGATGAATTATTAATCACGCTCAATTTGCTATTTTGCGAGGCTGTAATGATCTGCTCGCAAAGCGTGTACATTGTGTTTGCACAAGGTTTAAGGTAAATGAACCTCTTTGAAGAAAAATTGGTTGACCTATATAATTAACTCGATTCTTTGAGATTGCGGCGTGCGGCCACTCGTTCAAATTAATTTTTAACTTTTTAAAAGATTTTCTTCGTTTCTTTCTTTTCTTTTTTTTTTTTTTCTTTCTTTCTTTTTTTGTACGAGAATTTCTTCCTCCACTTGTTTAATTTCGTAATTTCTCATCCTTTATTTCCTTTGTTGCTCTTTAAACTCTTTTTTCACTCGGAAATCTATGAAATTTATTACATAAGTTACTCTTATGTAATAAGTTACTCTTCTCATAAATTGTTCTAATTTCGGTTTAATTTTCAAAATCTCCCCGTTTACAATCTTACAAACTCGCTTATCGCTTTACTTTAATCTGCGTCCAACTTCAACCCGAATTCTCCACTTCAGCATTCTCCAAACCAATTCTCAAAACCAATTCATAAGTAGCCTCCCCTGGAGCCTGTCGCATCCAGATAACTTAATGGCCGTCCTTATCCTCGTTCGAAATTTCCTCTTCTTAAGATCTTCAGCTTCCTCTTACATCGATCGAAAGATTGACAAAAATTAATGATAATTCCGTTTTATTCTGCAGATGCTAAAGTCCTGCAGAACGTTGAGCATGACCGTACGAGGCCCAGCGTTGGATCCACGGTGCAGAGGTGGGCATCCTGTCTGGTCCTCTTCCGGTCGACAACAGTCCTGCAGCTGGATCGACCGTCAAGGTCGTCCAACCTCGCCACCGCCGCTTTATCCACCTCGAGACCCTAGGTACGGACCAAGGACGAGAAAGGTCGAGCTCTGCATCGAGCCTGGCCAGTCCCTCGGCTTGATGATCAGGGGCGGCCTCGAATACGGCCTTGGGATTTATGTGACCGGGGTCGACAAGGACAGCGTGGCAGATCGGGCTGGACTTTTGGTAAGAGATTTTATTTCCTCCTTATAATATAAGCTGTATTTTTAGATCTCGACGCGCCATTTTCTCACCGATAAATTTGAAAGTTTTTCCAAAAATTTTTCCCTGATATTGTCGGTGATGCTTGTAATGATTTACAATACACGTGAGAAATGTAGAGAAATTAGTTAGAAATTTGTTTAATTGTAAATTGGAAGTCTTGTAGATTGGAAATGTTTAAGTTTAGAATGTCAGAGGATTTTAAGATGAAAGAGGATACATAGAAGTGGTTTTATGAAGATCCAATAATACTTTGATATTTTCAATTTTCGAAAATTAATAATTTCCCTGTGACATTAATATTGTATTACGTGAAACGTCCGGCACAAATAAATCGTGGAAAAGCGATTACAATTACGTATGATAAACATAACAGGATGTTTACGAACAAAGCGTAACAAACGGTATTAATTAGCTGGTTCTAATTAAAATAATAATTCAATGTCAGGAAGAATTAATTAGATGATCATTATTGAAATAGTAAGCATTCCAATGACAAAAGTGCCTCGTGGAATTGGACACCCAACTAATCACAGAAATTTAAATTTTATCAATTTTAATATAAAAACTTTCGTATAAAGTTTAAAAACAAAATATTTTATAATGCATCCATTAAATTACTGAATCAGTATAATTAAATATAAATGGAAATAAATAGGAATAAAACGTCAAATCCAGGTAGGCGATCAGATCATCGAAGTGAATGGGCAGAGTTTCGAGGAGGCGACCCACGACGAGGCAGTGGAAATATTGAAGACTAACAAAAGGATGACACTCCTGATTCGCGATGTGGGAAAAGTGCCACACTCTTGCACCACGAGCCAGCCTATCGTTGTACCGACGACTAGATACCCTGAACACGATCCTCTGCTCTTGGAGAGCCCTGGAAACCATCGACCACCGAGTCCTACGTAAGAAACCAACTACCTACTCTCGAAAACGAAACTCAAAAGTTTCAAAAAATAAAACCAATTTGTGTACACACTAAATTTCACTTTAAAATATTCTTAAACACGTTCGTTTTGTTTTCGTCGAAAATCATTTTCGTGTCTGGCTTTAAAAATGTATTCAAGTTCGATTGAATAATTATTTCGAAGGTATTTTTAATATTTTCGCTTCAGTATCGCGAGCGATTGGAGGCACAGAAACGTACACATGGTTTCTGCCGCAACTGCCGCGATGGTGGAGGAAAAAGCGAGGGTGGTCCTCGCGAGGAGCGAGAGGGCCGCCCTTTCTCAGCTTCTGGCCGACTACAGGACGCGTCGAATGACAATCGAGGAGTTGGTTGTCAGTTTAGGCGACTTGCTGAACACACACGAGAAATTGACTCTGCTTACCGAGCTCAGGGAACTCGTCGACAGCAAAGACAGAGCTGCCTTCGACGATTTGGTTTACAGGCCTCGAGTAGCAAGGGTATGTTATAAATGTAATATTCTGAAATGGAATAACTTTGCCTAAACCGTGGTATCATCGAGTGGTAGTCATTGATTTAATATAAAATGAATTTGAATAAAATTACAAAATTGTTACGTAAATGATACGTGTATTTTTCGAGTGATCAAGGTTTAATTAGTACTCTCTATATTTACTATAAGTAGTTTAAAAAAAAAGGTTTATTATCTTGAAAATTTAAGGATTATAGATTAATTTAATTTAATAAAAATGTTACAGATAGCGATTAAATTAGCGTTTTCCTTTTTGTCTGTTCAGAGAAAAGGTGATCGCGCCCATTCGGATTTAATAGTGACGCCATCCCTTCACGATCTTCCGGTAAGTAAACTGTAAAGATTACAATTTCACCGATATAGTAACACGAATAACGGGTGAACACACGAGAATACAACGACTCACTTGATATCTCACACGATTATTCTCTATCTATTTATCTCTATTTATCTTTTTCTCTATCTCTGTTTCGGGACATGTATAGAAAAATCTCTCTGTCTCTATCTTTCTCACTCTCTGTTGTGCGTTGTCCACTGTAACTGTTAGATCTAACTGGTGACTGTTCTCTCCTTTTATCTCTCTCTCTCTCTCTACATATATATATATTTTTTTTTAACCTGTCGCCAAATCTCTCAAGAGACCTACTCCTAGGAGATTCTCCTTTACGAATACCGAAATGCGTGTATTCGAAAAGGATCTCGAGTCGGGTGAAAAAGAATATAACGATGTGCATATGTACATTTTGTTAAATGTATTAGGCCCTCTGTTCGCTAGATGTCGAAACGATTGAAGTAAAAGAATTAAAAATGGAATAATCGAATAGTGTTGTGGAAGGAGAATATCCATCATGCGATGTAATAAGTAGAAAAAAGAAGGATGAAATATTACAATAGGATAATCTTTTAGTGATAATCATAATGATAAAAAATTCGATATTGAAGAGAAAAAAGCAAAGAGAGATATTGTATCAATGCAATTGGCCTTAATGAATTGAACATCGATTTTCGATAAATCTTTTTTAATTAATTGCCATCTAATAATTACTTATTGTTATTAATATTAAATCGGTTTTCTTTTATTACATTTAACATTTTTCTCGTGGACAGTGGGCCTTAAACATTTAATCAGAATCACGAAAGATTCCAAATATCCGAAACAGTGAAATTAATTACTTCTAAAAGAGATTGATCCAAAAAAAAAAAAAAAAAAAAAAAGAAAACGAACAAAAGTACTTGAACAAAGAAAGAAAAAAAAAATGACAAATATACTGTAACGAGAAGAGGAGGATATATATGGAAGAGGAGAGGTAGGGAAGCTCATAGTCGATTGGAGAGGTGCGAGAAGGAAAAAAGAATATAAGAAGATCAAAAGGACGAAAGGAGGACAGGAAGTCAACAATTGGAGAACATTCAAGGAAATCACCAAAATCCATCTCTTATCCACTCAAAACGCAGAGATGAAGCTTTTTTTTTTCCCCCCCTCCTCCGTTTAATCGCTCTCGGCTACCACGGTGACCGGTGAAGCATGACTCGAGAATCTTCCTGCAACCCCCCTTCTCTACTTCCGCTTCTTCTTCATCTAAACAAAACTATGCATATACTATCTCGTTTTTTTCTCGTTCTCTTCATCCTTCTTCATTCTTCTATCTCTTTCTTTCTCTCTCTCTCTCTCTCTCTATATATATATATATCTCTCGAATATATCTCTGCCTGTCTCTATAACTTCTTTGTCTATCTGTGTTTTGTTTATGATTTCGCTTAGTGTTAGTAGCGCTTCCCTTGGCAGCCAGTGTCGCCTCGTTTCCGCTCTGCGCTCGTCAACGTTCCTCCGCGTCTCTTTGGACTTTGCAGTCGAGATTGTTTGCGTACCGCTTCAGCCGTGCCATTGCGCGAATATTCGAAGCCCGTGGATTGAATGTCGTGCAATTAAGCCTCGCCGGAGCGAGTAAACGTTTTCACGACGAGCTCTCTTTCTCTATATATATATATATATATATATATATATATATACATATATATGGTTTCAATTCGAGATAGACGAGAGAAAAATTCTCTCGTCGATGGAAAAAAAAGAATAGAAGAAGAAGGAAGAAGAAAAAAAAGGAAATCGTTTTCGCGACGATCGAACGGCGAGGCTTCGAGTATTCTCGATTTTTTGAAAAGAATCTGCGATGCTATGGGTCTTAGACACGCACGCTTGCAAATTTGGGTATTTGGCCGTGGAATGCCGCTGGTAGATGCGAATGATTTTGCCTGTATCTCTCTTTCTCTTCTTTTTCTTTTTTTCTTTTTTTTTTATTCTTTTCACGCTAACCACATCGGGGGTGACAGTACAAAGTGCGATTTTCGAGAACGAGTTCGCCTGAGCTTTGCTGGATTTTTTGTGTTTCGTTATGTCTTGCTTTCGTCGAGTGCGTGATTAGGGAAATTATCGATGAGTTTGAAAAGGGATTGATATTTATTTTTTGACGAGATTTGAAATGATTTAATGTAAATTATTAAATGTAGTTGGAATATTATTTATTTTATCCTTTTATAAAGGGATACCGTGTAGTTAGAAGTCATCTTTATGGAATAGAGATTATTAACTTCGTTATTAAAAAATTCAAAACGTTCAATGAAATGTAAAATACAGACTAATCCTATTTAATCCTATTACGCTCTTCTTATGTTTCAATCTCGTTCTTATTTAATATTCTAAAGGAATATCTTCAGCATAAAAGTCAAGAAATACGATAATCCCATAGCTTAGTTAACGCTATGGGGAAAAAAAAGAAAATTATGAAATATAAAGTATGTCATTTCCAATCCAACGAATAAATTTTAAAGAAATCGCTTATTCGAATATTCTTTTTTATTCGTTTTAATAAAATAAAATATTATAATAAAATTAATAAAAAATTATAATCGCTAATGATCGAAAAAAAGACACGCTTGCCGAAATCAATCCCAATTCAAAAATTTCGCTCCAAAGGAATTTGGAAATATCCTCCAGTTGAATCGCAACTGATCACGCACTCAATCGCAAGATGCTGAGAGTAGTTGGCTGAGGATCGGCCTAATCGCATCTCGTGCGTCACGATTCAGGGGCTGGAAAGTTTCCTGAAAGCTTTACTCTCGTCTCGGTGCTTTCTTCATTTTCGTAAACGTCCCTGGACACGAGATCTCCAAAGAAAAGAAAAGAAAAGAGAAAAGGAAAAGAGAAAAGAAACAAATCCACAAAGATCCTGCAAGCCTTGTCCAAAGCTCGGGCTAACTCGCTGATGGCCGGTTTCATAGCCAACGAGTTTGTGAACGAGCGACATCGTTAATCTCATTCGTGGAAACGATTTCTATTTCGACGAAGGCCTCCAGTTTTTTCGTTCCAGCTTCGTTCTTTAAATTTCGTGTCCTTAGCATTTCTTTTTTTTTTTTTTTTTAAGCTTTCCACTACTGCCTTCTCCTTTCGTATCGATCTTCTTCTCAACTCTTTGTGTTCGGCTTGTCCAAGGGGCTGTAAGAAAAGGGGTGGCAAAGCTTGTAAGAATTTTTATTCCTTTTTTTTTTTTTTTAAATTTTAATGTAATTTGTTCGAATCTGCAATCGATGTAAATGGTCGGTGAAATTTAATTTGACGAAGCTCTTTAATAGACGCTTGTCGAAAGAAGGACTAATTAGAATAATTTTCGTTGAAGGCTCGTTAGGCTCGATGCAGACGAGAGACAGGAATTATTGATTTTTCACGTTTTGGAGGATGAGTCTTAAAACGTTCTCTCAAATTAGAATTTATCAATTAGAATAGAAATGAATTTATGGAAATATAACATTGTAATTATCATTTCAATTTCTCATTGAGTTTCGTAAGAATATTCTTTTTGTATCAAAAATAATAATTTTTAAAAATATTTATTTGATTAAATAATAAAAACATATATTTCTTTAAAAATTTCAATTTGTATCGTATAATATTTATCTGCATCGAGTTCTCAAAAATATTCAAATGAGAATTCTCAAGATAAATTTAATAAAAAATACAACGCTTTGAAATTTTCTAATCGAGCAAACTTTCGACATCCTTAAGTGATCGCATTAATCGTTTAAAAAAAAAAAAAAAATATTCGTCAATTGGACAATCGACTCGTGGATTGCTTTCATTCGTGGCCAATCGACAAATCGATGACGCTTGATTAATGACGAACAATTGCCCGTACAGTTTCACGGTTCGTGGACCGTGTATTCACCGGTTCCGTGATCTTTGAACGGAAGAGAGGAACCGGAAGTCATCGTAAATCAAGTGTTATCCGTACGCCGACAAATATCACCAGACGGATCGATGATAGATCATCGGTGAATTGGCATATAGACGCTTTTGTGGCCGATTAATCGATAATTTTGACTGTCTTTCGATGGATTGGCACGAATAGGAACGAGATCGATCGGCCGACTTAAAGAAAAGGAAAGTGGAAAAGGGAATCCATAAACGATTTCCCAAAGGGGCCAAAGCTATCGCTTTTCTCATATTTTCAGTTGCTTCTTCTTGGAAATTTATTTTCCACTGTTTTTTCCTCTTCCTCTTCTTTTTATTCATCTATGCTTCGTTCGTTACTTTTTACTTTTCTTATCGATTCATCCCGGAAGGGGAGAAAATTCGAATTCTCTATTTCTATTATTCGTTCGTAATTTTTTAAAACAATCGAGTAACAGGTAAACGATTCATTAGAAATTCGATCGGATGATCGAAAGAAAAAAAAGAAAAAAAAAAAAAAGATTAAGAATGAAAGGGGGAAATGGATTGGGTTAAAGTGAAAAAGGAGGAAATAAAATTGCTCGTTGGCCATCGAAACCGGGCTGAGAAATGGCGACGAAATGGCGAACAGCATGATGGGATCTGGTGATTTCTCGCAGAGGGGTGTGCAAGGTGGTTGTTGCCGTCCGGGACGACTGGTGGACGTCGAGGGAGATCCTCTAGGAGTGACAGGACCTCTCCTGCCAAGGGATAACCAGGAATATAGATCACCCAGCGAGGACAGCGGTCTCGGGGCCGACATGCCCAGGACCAGGTCGAGAAGGCTCTAATAAAACGAGGATCTTTTCCCATTTCTCACTCATACTCTTGAGGCTCTCTTGATTTTCTTGAAGACAACTTATATATATATATTCTATCCATTTTTTTCCCCTTTCTTATCTCTTATGTCTGTTGACAAAAATTGTTGACATCGTTTTCAACGGATTTTCTATCAATAAAATTGTAATCTCAGAGTTTTGAAATCGATAACAATTGGATTTGGAAAACTTTGGAAAAGAATGCGAGGATAAGAAGAAATTTTTAATCTTCGATTTTATTTTAAAAAAGAATATTGGATATCGACATAAGAGTTATAAGTAGAAAATATAAAGAAATTTTTTGGAAATTCTTTCAGTCAGAGAAGATACACTTACGAAGAAATTCTAATTTGCCGTACGATCGTGATATTTAATTTGCATTGCGAGTTCAAGAAAATCCAAGTCGAGCGTTCAAGTTTGCCATTCAGAGTAAAGTTTGCAGTTACACTTGAGACGTAACTGAGTTACGTCGAGTGGCTTTAAGGACACCACTGTTGTTTGATTGGTTCGAATCGTTTCGTTGCGTACACGTTGCTGACCGATTTCTCGATTGCCCGATTATTTCCTTTTCTTACGGTAATTCCGATCAATTTTTCAAATTCCTCTCACTTTCCGAAATATATTTAAAATACTTATTTTTCGAAAGAAAAAAAAAAAAGAAAGAAAACTCATTCCAAAAGGATTCTGAACAGATTCGACAGAAAAGAAACGTATTTCAAAAATAATTCTGTCGAAAGATATTTTATTCCGAACTTACAGAATCCTCTTCCCTTATCACTCTTACTTTCTACCCTAACTTAGAGGAAAATTTTACAATCTTCTAATTTCTTACTCGTCATCAAATCAAAACCACCTTTATCGACTTTCAAGAAACCAATCGATTCACATTATCAAATTCTATCTTCCTATTTTTCGTTAAAAAAAAATTCTAACCACCAAAAATTCCCCTTCCTCGATAACAAACGTTCTCAACAACATCCACGCTCGTACGCATTCCCTTAACGGATTAATCCCCAATGCCAATCGTCCCAAGAATCCAGCTCCCAAACAAAGGAGCGAAAATCGAGGGGACAGAGACAAAGAAAGAAAAAGAAAGAGAGAGAGAGAGAGAGAGAGAGAGAGAGAGAGAGAGAAGGAGAAAAGATTCAGGATTCCCAGTAAGCAGGGATAGCTGTAATGGCGTTTCTATGTCGGATACACGAGGTACATCGATATTTCATTTCCTACCAGGCTCGATCTGGCTTTAGCGTCTATCTCCCGCATTCGACCGGCCACCCCCTTCGACGCCACCTGGTTGGCAGCAGGTATGTACACGGATAAGCAGACACACGGCGGGGGTGGCAGGGGGGACGAGGCAAATAGCGGCCCGGTACTCGTGTACCCTGTGTGTACTCGCTCGCGTGGGCGGTGGTTGGACTCGCGTGCAATAGGGGATGGCGTATCGACGGTCAACTCACTGGTGGATCGTTCGATTGATTCGCCTGGATTTTTTTTTTTTTTTTTTTTTCACGTACGGTCAAGGGAGCGCGTCGTAAAGTGTAGATCGATGAGGCGGGATAGAGATGGTGTTGCTTCTTCTGAAGGGGCGAAAAGAGAGGAGAGAGGGCAGTTTTTATGCTTGGAAAGCGTGAAAGAGGTAGGATTGATCCGATTTCGAAGGTGAAAATATTTGCCAAAGGGTTTTTCCATCGAGTTCTTTTTTCTTTTTTCTTTTTTTTTTTTTTTTTTTTTTGAGGATGGATAGATTGGACGCTTTTGTGAGAGAAAATTGGGGTTTAATGGAATGTGAAAATTTCTGGATATGGGATATAAATATTAATGAAAGCTATTCTATTTTCACTATTGAATTGAAATATTGGGGATAATTTTGAGAAATATTTGTCGATTGTTGAAACAAGAAATGCATAAATATTCGCAATTTGCTATAAGAAAATTTTCATTCTTTAGTTATCTACGCTCTTTTAATTATAATATAATAAATAATCTGCAAATTACTCTCTTTTTTATTCTCTTTAGAATAACTTTCATTTTCATCGCAATTTACAAAAAAAAAAAAAAAAAGAGAGAGAGAAATATAATATTCTCGAGAGCTATTTTTATTCTGAAATACATTAGCAAAGAATTCGAAGAAACGATTCCATTCCATTCGATCTCGTGGAAAATTTCTTTGGTCCAATGCCAATTTCTCCTACGTGTTGGAACGAATGGTCAGATCGATTAATTCGGCGTACATAGATTCATGCACGGCGGAGTGATGGATAGGCCAGGACATTCCGTGTCTTTCCACGAAATTGGACGTAAGCAAATTCCGTCCAATCGATATCTTTCGCTGGCAGCAGAGAAAACATATACATAAAACGTTCCGAACGCGAACGAACGATCGAATCGAAAGCGAAGAAAAATGGGATTTGCATATTTGATCGAGTCTATATCGGGCCTGTATCCGATTATTTCGCGTGGCATCGTCCGATAAATGTTCTCACCTCGAGGCGAAATGTTTAAACGGGAATTTCAATCTTATTGTTTGCCACTGCTGATCCTTCGTCTTTACAGTTTCTCATTTTCGTTTACGTTTCATTTCGAACTTGCATTTGCTCCCATCGAGGGATCGAAAATACTCGGATTTATTTGGATTTTGCTTGATTCGTTCGAATAGAATAAGAATTGTAAAAGAAAGATTTTAAAAATTCTACAAAAACGGATACTTATTAATTCAATTGAACGTAATATTACAATCAATATACCTATCCAAAAATGAAGTAGCCCAGAGACTTGATTACACGAAATAAAATTTTTTTTTAATAATAATACATTCGACTTTTTACCTTTTCGAGGTAAAATTAAATCCCAATTGTATTTATATTCGTGAACTTCAACTTATATTTGAACCGATATAAAACCGCGAGGAAAAAGAGCGAAACAATACAGATGACATAAATATCACGATACACCGTGACACACGTTGCTAAAGCGATATTCTGAAAATCCCTTTACCGCATAACGGTTCTTATGCGGCAATAACGTACACACAGGTACACGAATGGCCCTTGAAAATTTCGTTCTATGGTCGGCCAAAGTTCTAACGCTAGGTCGTATCCCGGGTAACAGAATGAAACAAATGAGCTTGGAGAGAGTTAGCAGTACCGTAATAGCTACGCGGACGAAACGTTGGTTGGAAAAAAGTGTCGGTGCTCGCGTCACAGCCAGATTTTCATTCTCCTCGCTCCACTTCGTCGACTTCGCCCACTTCGAGGCGAACCGGTGTAGGAAGATATAAGAAGGTGTCGACTCCGAAATTTCTACGTGGAATCAACTACGTGGTTCGATTGTACAGTCTTTTTGAGCGATATACACGTAACGCGCATTCTCTGATAAAAGGGTAAGGTAGTTTCTTGGAAATATCGTAATTAATCATTTCTTTGCGATTCATCGATCGGTTATAATTCTTTAATTACTTTAAATTTCTGGATCTATTAGAATTTGAGGAATTCGTCCTTGTGCGATTCCATGAAATTTCTTTGTTCTTTTTTTTCTTTTTCCTTTAAGGAAAAGGATAGTTTCTTGGAAATATAATTAATATAATTTCTTCGCGATTCTATTCATTTTCATTCATATTTTTTCCAAATAATCGAAAACATCGCTCGATTTTTCATAACAATACCACACCGATAATTCAAATTTTCCTTTTATAAATAAAATATTCGTAATTTGCAGCAAATTTCTTGCCGTACAATGAAATACTTCGTCGTACACGTTGTGCTTGATAAATCTCGCTACGGAAATGTTCACGAACTGTTGCAACTAATTTATCGAGGAACGCAATATTCGGTGAAAATCGTAACTCGTTGATTAGACGGATGCTCGACGCCATCCTGGCTGGTTAGCATCGATCGATCGATGGCACCTGCGGCTGTTGAAACTTGGACGAAGGACGAGTCGGGGAACGGAAATAGATTTGGCATGCGATAACCACGGGGGTGTACGTTCGACTTTGCACTCATTAAATAATCGATGCGAATAACATATAAATAACCGCATTGCTGTCGCCGATCATCCCTCACATATATATATATATACATATATATGTACGTGTTTCCATTCTTCTGTCAAATTTCCAACCTCGTGAGAGAATAGAAAGTTCTATTTTAACCACCGATCGAAACCACCGTTCTCGTGCCACGATATCCACAAGTTTCGGAGTCCTCCTGCACGATTATAAATCGCTGAATTATCAGTCGTCGCGTAGAGATCTCACCATTTGGATCTCTTTCCATTTTCCAACAGAATAAAATCGTTCGAGAAATCGGTCTCTCCGAGATAAATAATCATCGACGATCAATCGATTTTCACGAAACTTGATCGATCAACTTGAACACCCGACTATAATCAAACTACAACCAAAAAAAAAAAAAAAAAAAAACAAAAAAAGAAATATCGAGCAAACCAACACGATCCAATCGTAGATCTAGACGATATTAAAAAAAAAAAGAAAGAAAAAAATATAGGAAAAAATCGGGTGAGAGACGTGGAGAGTCTCGACAGGGTGGGTCGTCTCAAATCGCAATTTTGGCCATTCCAGAGCTGGGTGCAGGAGGACGCCGCAGCACCAAGTGACCACCTCCGATCTCGCCCTCTCCAACGACGACGAGTGCGACAACCAGGTACAGAAAAATTGTTCGAGAGAGGCAGAGACGCACGACCTTGAGAAGTTGTCCCGTTGAACGTGTGAACGTTCCCCGCGGTATTGGTGAACGCGATAAAAGGGTTGTTCGTCGATTTCTTTTCCAGGATTACGAGGACGAGTTGGAGAACGGGCGTGGACGTAGGCACAGCTCGCCAGGTGGCTCGAGGGGGAACCCGAGGGATTACGGCCATCATCATCTTCATCCGGACAATTTGGTGAGTGGTCAGTTTATCTTATTTCCACGTCTCTATATTTACGGAATCACACTTCTTTCTTCCTTTCGCGAATTTCTCCCGTTTCCACTGACTGACTGGGCCGGATTTGACACTGAACTTTGGAACTATCGAGTTAATATTAATATATGAAAAAGTGAATAGAAATGAGAAGTTAGAGGATCGAAGGGTTCAGAAGTTGGATTCTCTGAAAATAATTTAAGAATCCTTTTTATTGTTTCAATATTTCGATTATCAAATTGATAAAGTCTTCGGTGAAATTGAAATAGTTATTTCAATTAATTCGTCGACTGGATGTTCAAACGATAAAGAGATTTTTGAAACTTACTACTAAGTCACTTTTACGGAATGCGACTTCTGAACCTTCTGATGTATAAAATTATGTTTTTATCTGAGTAAAATTGAATATCAATTTTGTCTAAATTTCGCGTTAATAAAATTGAAAAATTATGTGACTCGTTTGTTAATTCTAGGATTAATTTTAAACTGCGTTTCTCGCGATAAAGTGAAGTTACTCGGAACAGGGAAAGTGGAATGAATAATGAAAGGAATTTCGATATCGTATTGGGATAGTCGAGTGTATTAGGGGATGTAACCACGTTTCCTGTAGTAAATATTGAATGCCCGTTTATAAAATTACGAAGGATACGAAGCGCACGCGATTCATAAAAAATTCATCGTGGATGATTGTATAACTTGGATCGAAGACAATAGCTAATTCTCATGGTACGAAAGAGTGATAAATTTTATATAACCCTGTATGGTTTAAAAATTATAGAAAAACTTTCAAAATACGAAACGAAATCTCCATACATTTTAATGTTTTAAATAATTTAAATAAACGTAATTTTGTTTATAGAAATTATAGAAAGTTTAGAAAATTAATTGATTTAAATTTCTAAATTTTTCTTTGATAAAATGATATTATACAAACGAAATTTTAATTCTTTCGAGTTTTAAAATACGTATTCAGATACAATTGTATTGTACAATTGTAAAATTTTGATTAAATTTCCCTCTTGTAATAATATCACGTAGAAAATATATGAATATATGTTTCACGAATCCTGAGCAAGTACAAACGAGAGATTTCAACGTGTTCATTCCCATCTTTTGTTCTCCAAGGCACGAAGCGTTTTGCTCAAAATTAATATCATCCTACCTATTATTTCCTTGGCAGAGTACGTGTATATCAGACGTATTAACAATTCTGTTGTGCCCTATAGCAACTATATAGAATTCGTTCAAGTACGAGGAGTAGAATTGCCAGATTATGAACCGCCTGCGGTATTACTGCGCAATTGTCTCGCGTTAATGGCTGCCAGTATTTTGCGCGTGATAATGTCAAGAAAAGGAGGGTACAGGATGCACACGCGATGCGCACGAGAGCAGAACAAATGGATAATTGAGACAACGGTGAAATTTCTCCTCGAGAATTATTCAAACCTAACGATCGAGTTATCTTGGTTGAAAAACAATAGTGAAATTTGAAAGAATAGCGATGATCCATCTCGTCATATTTTAGAGAAATTCTGTTCCGATTAAACATTGTATGTATTCTCTATTAACCCTTTGCACTCTTTCATTTTTTTTCTTTTTCTTTAGCGACAACTTCTTAATTCATTTACAAAAAGGATCTAAAAAGAGGGTCTAAAATACTGTGTAAAGTATTACAAAGTATTTGAAAGAAAAAAGAAAAACATTTTAAATTATTTAAGAAACTGCTTGTATAACGTGTCGAGTCTAGTTTGGAGTGTAAGAAGTGTGATGGGAGTCGTAAGGGTTAAGAATCTATGCAAGATGATTTTATTTGTTGTTAAATCTTTAAATGAAATTATTATCGTTTATTCTTACCAATGTATTTATCTTCAAATTTCTATACGTTTTACATTTTATTCGCAATAACTTTTTCTTTGCTTCAACTGTTCCATATTCTTTTCGTCCCGCTAAATTTCATTTCCGATCGGACAGCGACGATTGGCAAGAGTCAATGAACCGCGGCATTTAAATGAACGAGAAACCGTTAACTCGATTGTCGTCCCGCAAGAATCGACCAATTAAGGAACTGCTTCGAGTAACGAGCCACCCTAATTAGTCACCAGGTCGCGACTGCTTCAAACGAACAAACCGCACACTTCGATTAGAAGCGTTTAGCTTCTCATCCCGCGCTATCCTTTCCTCGACGGGAAACAACAGAAATTTTTCTTTCTCGCAGCGTAAGCATTATTCCAACGATTTTATCCGTCGTAAAATCTCGCATCTCGTTTACGATTCATTTCCCCCGCTAACCAACTACCCGCTACTTTACCCCTATAATCATTAATCTCCTCAAAAAAAGTTGAACTATAATCCTCTCTCAATTCCTTCTGTTGTATCAACTTTATACCCCATTCTTCTCCACACGACCATTCCGACGATATAATTTTCGTTTCGCAATACCTCTCGATCACTCGTTTATTATTTTTATACCCTTATAACAATTTCTACCAAGATACCGACCGATTATTATTCACCGATCGAACACACCGCATCGAACAAAATCCATTAAAACCCATTAACATTAGCCTCGCTTGTCTCGCTTTCCCTTTTTCTTTCTTTCTTTCTTTTTTCTTTTTTTTTTTTTTTTTTTCTTTTTTCGCGCGATCGAAATCGATGGAAAGGAGGATCCAGAGAGGTTGACCGCCATGCCAATACCAATGATCCACCGCGATACCTTCTCTCACGGGTCCATCCTGGAAACGAGCTCGATTTATGGACGTTGATCACGCCAGGTCTATCGACGTTCCAAACCGTGTATCCGAGATCCTGAGGCCAGAAGGAGGTGTTCCAGGCCTGAATTAATTATCCAACCCCGATCGATCATGCCTTGTACAGATACCAGACGATCCAGACGACTCGCGAAATGTCTCTATTTCGTGGCGGTTTTAACGTTGATGGACTTTTGCCGGCCTTGAAACGGCAAGATCGTCGACCGAGCGGTATGGACGGTTCTTGATATCCTTGAGGAGGAGAAGACCGAGGGGAGAACTTCTTTTTCCTTTGCGTGTGTCCCGAGAAAGTCGTAAAAGTCGATCCTTCTTTGAATATTTTATAATTGGCGTGCTTGTCTGTTTGCTTTGCGAAGATGTATCTGATTGTTGTAAAATCATGGGTTTGGAGAGGAGTGGAAGGAATTGGTTTAATAATTGATGAATTTCTTTGCGTAACTTTTTAGTAACAGTGTTTTTTTTTTTCTTTCTTTTTTTTTTTTTTTTTTTNTTTTTTTTTTTTTTTTTTTTTTTTCTTATCTGTCAGTCTCCGTTTGAAAGAAGTGAACGCCGTGCGCGTGTAAATTACAAAAGTGAATTGGGAGGATTGAGAAAGCATTGTTCTTATGATATGGAAATTATGACGCAAAGCGACTATCGGCGAATCGGCATCTCGCCGAATATGGGATTACAGAGGAACGAATTTAATTCCTAATACCGACTCGTCTACATATGCATACGTTTCAATATCTATTTTGCGCGTGATAGAACGCTGGATGTTTCGAATTTCATTGTCTCTTTCTCGAAATTTTTTTTCTCGTATACTTGTTTCGACGTAATGTAATTTCTCTTTCTTCTTCATCACGATATTCTAAATTTAATAATTCCGTTGTCACTTGGACTAGAAACTGGACACAAAGAAAAAGAAAAAGAAAAAGAAAATATTACAAAGAATATCAAAACGTATATTTCATATTGTTCTCGCGTCATCATATTTATAAAGTTAAGAAAAATATTATTAATTACGAAAAACACAAAAAAGAAAAATTATTACACCTATACTCTCTTTCACAACATACTCTTCGATCATTGCAGAGACACGCTGTGAATACATCTACGAAATTTATTCACCCAAAAATTCGAATAAGCAGCGTTCATCCAACACATTCATCCATCATCCATCCACCCCGATTCGTCCCCCTGTACGCGACTTCTTCCCTCGAGCCACAGTTCATCATCGTCACTCGACAAAATCCGGAACTTACGCGTCCGGAGAACGTTTATCCTCGAGTCCCATTGTTCTTTTTTTTTCTTTTTTTTTTTTTTTTTTTTTTTAGTAAAAAGTAGCCGCCGCCAGCTTCGGATCCAGAGATCCAGAGAGCCCGAAACTTGTCCACGGAATAACACGAATATAAACGATTCGTCCTCGTTATCGAAGGCGAGAGAAAGAGAGAGAGAGAGAGAGAGAGAGAGAGAGAGAGAGAGAAAGAGAGAGAGGTATCGTACACTCGAGGCGCGCGTGAAATCCTTGAACGATGATCCTCGAACACGGGTTTGTTTGCTCGATCAATTTACGGTGGCCCCCAATCGATGATCACCTAGTATCAGAGCTTGTCCTGGAGCGCTTGTCGTAGCTCCTCGGTGGCCTTCGCCACGTCCTGGGTCTGCCGCGAGAGCACTTCCGGCCGCACGTGTTGCACCGTGGAATTGGACCGCCTCACCGAGTTCCCGCTGCCGAATTTCGGCCGTGGAATTCTCACGCGTTGCACGTCGCTCAGCCAGGATTCCATGATTCTCCCCCTTTTTATCCTTCTAATTCTGATGGTGCCTCCTTTAAACATAAATGCCAATATTCGTTATTATAACAAATTGTCGCGCGTCTGTATGCATTTTTTGAGAAAGAAGAAATATCGATCGATATCTGTGTAAAATTGTGAACACCAGTGAACACGATGTGTTCATTACGAGAAATTAATTATTATTCGTATTTCTTGAACGAAAGAATTAGAGGAAGTGTTAATATTTCTTCTTTTCTCTTATCGCATACAATTTTTGTTGTAGAATTATCTTGATACGATTTTTTCTCGATTTTCTTCGAACGTGGGCGTATTTAGAGAAATCGGTAGATAACTTAACAGAGTCTAATTTCGACGATTAGTTACGTTTAAGTAACTTAAGAGAAAGTCTTGGAAGCCTTGCGTTTAACAACTGTGTCGCACTGTGATCTTTATCGCG